GAGTGGCTGCAGCAGAGATGGAATGGCCTGCAAAACCTAAAATATTTACTCTCTGGCCCTATAGAGGGATCTAAAGAGAAAGACAAATGCATGAAGAATGAGGAATTCCCTTAAAACATGCTAAAGGCAAACAGAACAGAACATTATGTGTGCATAGAATAGAGAGCTACACACACACACGCGCGCACGCACACACTCACATATACAAATGCATATGCCACCCCCCACCTGTCAGTTATATGCATGGTCTTATTTCACCCTCACAACAGCTTTATGAGACATGTAGGTTGGAAGCATGGCCTCTGAAGCCAAACTATGTTTAAATTGAAAGCTTTGTCACTTACTAGCTGGACAATCTTGGGTAAATTACTTAACCTCTCTGTGCCTGGGTTTTCTCGCTTGTTAACTGTAGGTAGTCCTGCCTATGCATCACAGGATTACTCCAAGAGTTGAAACTACAAAGAGCAGCCTCTGGCACATCGTAAACAATATATAAATATTTGCTATTATTTTTCCTTACTTTTCAGAAGACTAAACTGAGGGAGAGAGAGGTTAAGTAATTTTCTCAAGGTCACACGGCTGGAAAAAGTGAGAGACAGAACTTAATCTCAGCTCTGATTTTAAAGAGGTGCTATTATATTGCTTCTCAATAATAAAGGCTTATTGAATTTTTTATTCCTGCTATTATATTAATTCTCAATAATAAAGGCTTATTGAATTTATAAGTAAAATCACCACAAGAAAATTTCTTTACCTTTTCCAACAATGCTTTTTATTTTTTAAATTGTGATTTGTGGTTTATTTATTGGTAGATCCTACAGGTCTCTTGTACTGTGTGAATTCCACAAGAACTTTATTTGAATTCACTATATTAATATATTCCCGCCTGACACTTTGATGATTGTCCTTGGAAATGAAGTCCACTTTTATTATTAAACTAATTATATTCATGGTTTTAAAATGATAAACCTAAGCAAAGCTTTTGCTAGTGATCTATATAATACTAAGGTAATTTTAAATAAAGAATAGGACTTTTAAATATTAATCCTTAAATAAGGGACTTGACACTATTGTATTGCTCCTAGAATATACCAAGAACAGTTATATTTTTCCGTATAGTCTTTAATAAGTTCATCCTACCCCGTGTTCAGTTGAGTTTAAAAACAAAGAGCAGCCAGGCGTGGTGGCTCATGCCTGTATCCTGGCGCTTTAGGGAAGGCCAAGGTGGGCAGATCACCTGAGGTCAGTAGTTCAAAACCAGCCTGACCAACATGGCAAAACCCCATCTCTACGAAAAATATAAAAATTAGCTGGGTGTGGTGGCAGGCGCCTATAATCCCACTTACTCGGGAGGCTGAGGCGGGAGAATAGCTTGAACCCAGGAGGTAGAAGTTGCAGTGAACCGAGATGGCGCCACTGCACTCCAACCTGGGCGACAGAATGAGACTCCGTCTCAAAAAACAAACAAAAAAAGAGTATGTAAATACAGCCTCTCTCTAGATAGTTCTAAGGAAAATGCACCATCTCTTGAAACCCCATTCCTCATCTCCAGATTGCCAGCTGTGGCAGGGGAATGCTGTAAGAGATACCTTGCTGAGAAACAAGTTACTTGCCATTAAAAGTAATGACAAAAACCATAATTACTTATGAGGTGGGAGGATCACCTGAGCCCTGGGAGGTCGAGGCTGCAGTGAGTTATGACTGTGCCACTGCACTCCAGCCTGCACGACAGAGTGACCCTGCCTCAAAAAAATAATAATAATCCATTTGATTTTACATGTTATTTTGAGCTTCTGGAAAAGTATTTTTCATGGATTAACTCCTGCTTCTTTGGCAAGGAAATAATACATTTGATGTGTACTTATTAAAAGTATTAAACACATTTGATGTGTACTTATGAAAAGCACAGCACAAACTTGAATTCTCATTTATGATGCTTGCTTAAAGATCAAAGCTTGTGAAACAGATTTTATTTAACTGTCCATTTTCCATTTAATTAATAGCTGTTTTGAAAAGTTAGATATTAATTTTAATGAAATGTTTTGATCTCCAGAAGTGAAACTCTGGCTTTTGACTCTGACAGAACAACTACAAGTTACTTTATATAAATTGTCTTGAAATGTCACAACCACAACAGTTGTCAGGGTTTCCAGTGTGTTTAAGGGAAACTCAGGATTCTGACTCAAATTTCTGTAGTTTCAGGTATTACCCCATATGTTTTGGGTCTAGTTCTGACCGAATTACACGTTATTCCAGGCCAAAGCATATAATTCCTGAAGGAGATTCTTAGCACTTTTCCCTCTCGCTGTAGCAGCTGAGGAGATCTTGTATTCCAGATGGTGCAGGTACAAAATGGAGGAACTTCTGTCAGCCTGGGTCCTTGAATGACAGTGTGGAACCGAGCTCCCTCTATTGACCTGTGTTTGATATGTAGTGTGATAAAAGACCTAAGCCACCGAGATCTGAGGATTGTTTATTACCCCTATAGAAAAGTTGTTGTCATCTCCGTCTGTTTTCCAAGTGTATTGTCTTTTTCTTATTGATTTTTAGAAGATCTTTGCTTATTGAGAATGTTAACATTTTGCTTGTTAAATATGCTGCATTTTTCTCCTTGTCAATAATTTTGCTTACAGTGTGTTTTGCTGACAGGAATTTAAGAGTTTTATGTAGCCAAACTTGTCATATATGTTCTTTTATGACTTCTAGTTTTTCTGGCATAAATAGAATCTCCCTTGCGAAGATTATAATCTTCCCAAACCAGTTACTGAATAGGCTTTTTTCCCCTGGGCAAAAAAGCTACTTTTAACAATGCTAAATCCTCCCTCTATGTATGGATTTGTGTCTGGAGTCTTAATTTTTTAAAATTTTTATGCCTGTACCATACTAATTTGCTTTTTATTGCTTTTTAATACATGTTCTGATAACCGAGACAATTCCTCTGTAGTTTTCTATTTCAAAATATTCTTAGTTTTTATATACATTATTCTTCTAAATAAATTTTGCTGTTTGTCAATTTCAGAAAAGAAATGTGTTGGGATTCTAATAGAAATTATACCAATTTTATATCTTAATGTGGGGGACTGAAATCTTTATACTACTGAACTTCCCATCAGAGAGCATGCTATTCCTAGAAAGGACATCTCCATTTATTCAAGTCTCATTAAAATTCTGTAGTTTTTCTTGCATAGTTCTTGTTAAATTTATTTCTATGTATTTTATAACTTTTGTTGCCATTGCAAATGTATTGTCTTTGTATAATTGGCTGATTTTTAAATTTTATGGCTCTACATTTAAACTGAGTAAAACAGAAGAAATGAACTTTGGAAACCTGTATGAGAATTAAATTTAAACTATATCTGTTCAGTAATTATCTAGAAACTAGTTAAAAGAGACATTGTACAGAATTGTCTCAAAGATAAAAAAAAAAAAAAAAGATCTTTGGTATGCACCAGATTTTAAAAAGTGGTGTATACCTGGTCCCTATCCTGGTGGCTCTCCTGGTCCCTATCCTCGTGGCTGTGCGTAGAATGTTTGCCTAATTCCACTTTGATGTTAGGGCCTTGGCCTGTGAAACTTCTTTTCAGAACTTACTAGGAGGTTGGTTTTTGAAGATGTTATTTTCTATATTACATTTTGCCATCTCTATGAATCTACCAAAGAGAAATTCCCCTGATATTTGTTCCACCTGAGAAACTGGTCTGTGCTTTTATCTAGCAGATCCTAGTGTAAATCACATAATGGATAACATTTCCCCCCAAAACTGGCTGCCAGTGAGTACAGAGTCAAATTCCCATTCATCTCTAACAAATGCATTGCATTTTTGTGAATTCTCATCTTTGGATCCAAATCTTATTCCTGCTTTGTTGGACTTTCCTACACTTATGCCTGTATTTCATTTATTTTTTTTCCTTCTTATATCCCATGGATCTTTGTAATCTACTTTAAATACTTTCTGGATCAAAACAGACTTGAAAGTGCAGAGAGAAAACCTACAAATAGGTTTGTATCCTATAATCCATGCTCTAACTTCTTAAAACTCTATGATAAATATAATTACCACACCATTTGAAATAAAGCAATTTATTCTGAAATAAAGAATTATATTCTTTGAAATTACAAATTAATACAAAATAATCTTAGCTTTAATTTCTAAAATCAAATTGACTTTAAAACGTCTTCTAGGAAAATGACTATACAGGTCAACACTGGACTTTAAGCATGACTAAGCAATACATACTTCATGAGATCACCACATTAGTAGTTTTTGTCTTATTTGAAATGTATGTTTACTCCCCATTTTGTGCTCAATACTGAAAACGCAATTTCTCAGCAAAGATTGCTCTACCTTTATGCTTCAAAGTTTTTCAAAAAATAAAAACTTCTTAGTTATATAAATGGAAAATAATATATTGATGGCCCAGCATTAAAATGTGGAAGAGCACAGCAGAATTGTTTTTAGCTGAAGTTATATTTCCAAGCTAACACAGACAAGATGAAAACAAAAAACATTTTATGGAAATGTACTTTAGAAATATTTTTAATTCACTATATTAAAGTGTTTTTAATGATGAATTTTTAAAAATAGAAACAAAAATGTTTAGAAAGGAATTTGTGATACTCAAACATCTGTATTTATTCTATCTAAACTATCAAAATCTTAAATGAAACTGAGACAAGGTGACTGCAAATACTAAAAAGTCACTTAGTTTGCTTAACTGAGCGTGCCTGAAGCATTCTGGGCACAAAGGATGACAATCACGAGGCCACAGTGTTGTCCTGGGTGCAGCAGCTGAGTGCTACATGTGATCCCTAAGTGACAGAGGTGCTCCTCAGGACACAGTGGGCTGGATGAATTTCAAAAACAATCAGCTTTATGTGAGGGTCAGTGAGCAGAAAATGACCTAATAAGACAGAACTCTTTCCAAAAGGCTGAAATCAGAAGCACAGCAAAGTTGACTTCAAGTTTCCTAATTTCTATGCAGAGAAAACATTTCTAATGCTTTTATTTAAAGTTTTTATTTAAAGAGATAAAATCAATTTGGAGAATGTCTTAGAGAGTGTACACAGTGAATTTCTTGTTTGAGCCTCTCTTGTATTCGTCTGATGGCTTAAAGGAGTCTGTAAAGATCAGCCTCTCGACTTCTCAACTTCATCAGTCCACCTGGATGGAACATGAGGTCAACCACGTACACCTCAAAAGTGGGGAGGCCCCCGATCACTCCCTTCCGAGATTCATTCTGCAGCATGACTTCATTCCACGCTCTACCGTACTCTCCGCGAACTAGGGAGCAACCAATGCCAATTCTATCTGCCAGAGCCTGCAGGAGAAAACAAGAGATCAACCAAGGGTGATGTGGGAGAGGGGTGGGGAATATCTTATTTGTAATTGCCCACCTTGATTGAAGGTGAAATACACAAGTCTTGCAAAGAAATGTTTAGATAGGAGGCTGAAAGATGTGGACTACTGGTATAGGGGCCAATCAAATGTGACAAATTCCCTTTATCAAATGTGATAAATTCCCTTTATCAAATGTGATAAATTCACTCAAGATTCTGTAGATGCAAAATCTCTGTGTAGGTCCTGCTGGGAAGTGACCTTTTTCAGGTAGTAACACTATTGTATCAGATGAGGAAGGCGGTTGGAAAAAAGCTATTCTGTACGTTCTTGGCACTGGTGCATCTATCCATCTTTCCAAACTTCTGGGCTCTCCCTGGCTGTGAAATGCAGTGGGACTGAATGGAGGCATCACCCTGGGGTGGGGGCTCTTTCCAGCTAAACTATTCTGCGTGCCATGGGGCAGGAGAGGCAGAACTGTGTGTGCCTGGTCCCAGGGCTCCTTGCTGCCACCTCACCAGAGACCGCTTAGGTTCCTTGGACATTGTCTCTTCAATTTGCCTTCTAATGATTCCTGATTTTGAGGTTATTAAAACAAAACATCTCTAATCTGGAGACTACTCAGCCACTTTATAGTGAACAGGAGAACTAGCTCAGTCTGCCTGGGTCTGGATTGTAGCCCAGACCTGAGACCGACTAGCTGTGCACCACAGCAAGGGACTTGGCATCTCTGGGTTTCTATGGCTTCATCTGAGAAATGAGGGGAGCAACAGTACTTTCTTCATAAGGTGTTAGGAAGATGAAGTCAATTATCTGTCCAGTGCTTACAGCAGCGACACCAGCAAGGCTACATACTCAGTTAATACTACATAGCACCAGAAGGCAGGAATTGTGTTGTTTTAGTACCCTGTATATGTATATATTAATTTATTGACTACTTACAATACAATGACTGCACTAGGTCACTCTGTCTTGGGTGGACCATGATGATTAAGACATGGTTATCATTTTTAGAGCCTTACATTCTACACAGACCTACTGGTAAAGAGTCAACTATAACACAAACAGTATCTGAATGTATGGCACTCATAGTTCAGTGGGGTAGAAAGACAAAAATAAATATATAATTGTAAGATGTTTCCAAAAGTAACACTCCCTGTCAAAGCCTTGTAAATCATCAAAACAACCAACCCGGTGGAATAGATACTATTGTTTTCCCCATTTTATAGAGGATAAAACTGAGGTCTCATAATTCTCCCAAGGTCACAGTATGTGGTGACCAAAAGTGAGAGCCAAGGTATCTGTCTCTGGAGTCTGAGTTTTTAATGTCAGGGTAATAACTGCTGCTGACTGAGGTGAAGCAATTCCCATCTGAAACTCCCTGTTTTCTTTGTGAAGTGGGACACAAGGTCACCTGCTTAGAGGGGAGCAGTGCCGATGGAAGGGCTTGGCAAAGGGCAGATGTGGGGCCTAGTAGCTGAAGGAAATAGGAAAAAGCCTGCCACTAGGAGCTGGGAAAGGGTGGCCTATAGGAGTGGCCTGTAGGTGGCATGTATGAGTGAAAAGGACAGACAATCAGAACAAGGCCTGGTTGGCAAGGCAGAGGGTGGAAGGATGGGAGGAGAGGGAATGGGGGAAATTAGTGAGTGAGTGAATTACTAGGGCTGTGGTCTATTTGTCTATCCTGCCTAGGGAAGAAAGTAAAGCCAAACAGGCCAAAAAACTGGAAGAAAATAGAGGAGATAAAGAGTATATATAGGAGGGCCAAAGGATTTAGGAGGAGGGGAAGGATAAGATATTTTATCAGTGAATATTGGTGTTTAGAATTTCAGTGGTGGGAGATTTCTGGGTAATTAATTGTATGACTCATTTGAGATGTGAGGGTAATTCTGTTTGGCATAATGAGCTTAAGATGCCTGTTATGAACTGAATGTTTGTGTACTCCCCCAAATTCATATGTTGAAGCCCTAATCCCTAATGTGATGGTATTTGGAGGTGGGGGTCTTTAGAAGGAGATTAGGTTTAGATGAGGTCATGAGGGTAGACCCCACGATGGGATTAGTGTCTGTATAATAAAAGACAGGAGAGCATGCTTGCTCTCCACCATGTGAGGATACAATGGGAGCCTTTCTCTGTCATATGAGGATACAGCAAGAAGGTGGCTGTCTGCAAACCAGGAAGGGAGCCCTCACTAGACACTGAATCTGCTGGCACTCTGATCTTGGACTTCTCAGCCTCCAGAACTATGAGAAATAAGTCACTGCTGTTTAATCTTCCAGTCTATGGTATTTTGTTATAGCAGCTCAACTTGACAAATTCAGTGCCTATGAGACACGCATATAGAGCTAGCCTGGATATTAATGACATACATAGATCTGGAATCAGGGGAGGTTTGAAGGATGAAGGACATGATCTGTAGATTTTAGGTATTTAGGTACTATTTAAGGCCATATGAAGGAAAACCTCACCCTGTGAAGTACATAAAGGGAGAACAGAAAAGTGTCTGGGTCAGAACCTTGAGGAACCCCAATATTTAAGAGAGACCTGGAGGTGTTCTCCAATATTTGACCTATTAAGCAAGGCAGACAATAAGGAGATCACTAAGGTCCTTATTGAGAGAGTAGGAGCAAAAGCCAGATGACCGTGAGTTAGGACAAAAATGAGAGGTGTGCCAAAGAGTGACAAGGAGCTAAGATGATTCAGAATTTTGACCAGGAATGGGAATTATCTATGGGTAGAAGCAGTGTGGTAGGTCTTTTATTCAGGTAGGCATGGGCTCAAATTTCAGCTCCTCCTATGGTTGACCTTGGGTAAAATTATTTCTCCAGGTATCAGTTTGCTCACCTTTAAAGCAAGGGTAGTAATTTCTATATTTGGCATTTTTGAAACGCTTCACAATTATAGGTAACAAGTCCCTGGCATATAGTTCAAAATGACGTTAGTCATGGTAATAGGATTTAAGGTAGTAATTGTAGCTATTATGATAAGAGCTTTATATTTTCTCTTTATATACTGCAGACTTAAGCATGTTTAGATTTTAAAGGGGAAAATAGCTAAGAGAGAGAAGAGAGTGAAGATAGGCGAGAGGCAAGAATTGATAGAGCAGGCAATCCAAGGGAATAGGAAAGGCTAGCACTTAGATAATAGAATTAGCTTGGAACTGGAGGTAAGATGCATGTGAATGCAATGATGTTTATAAGTATTTGGGAAAGGGTAGGAAATTTATGCATTTAGTCTATAGTTCACATTTTCCCAGCTTCTATTATATGCCAGACACTGGATATAATGGAGCAAAAGATCACCCCATCTCTTCAGCCTGATTCTTCTCTGATGTCCCCATTTCAGGGAATAATGCCATCATTACCAGTTGCCCCACTCAAAGCCCGGAAATCATTTTGTTCTTCTCATGGACTCTCTCACACCACACCTAGGCAGTCACCAACTCCTTTCGATTATGTCCTCTAAATTCATTGGCTCTTCCACATCTACATGTCAGGATTTAGTATGGATCAACCACTCTTCTTGCTCGGTCACCTTCTAACTGGTTTTCCTGTTTCTAGTCTTGCCCCTGCTCTAATTCATTCCCCGTTCTGTTGCCTGAATAGTGGTTCAAAATGATGTTACCCCCTTGAAAACTTTCAGTGGCTACTGTTATATTTTAGGGTAATAAAATAATGCCCAAACTTACGTGATGAATTATGATCTAGCATTCACCCCTCCGCTTTTCCTGATGCACGCAAACTATTCTACCTTCCTCAAATAGACCACTGACTCTCATACCTGTATTATTTTGCATAAGATGTTTTCTCTGTTTAGAATACTCTTGTTTTCCTTCTTTACTTGATGAAACCCTATGCAGCCTCTCGTACTTGGGTTATATATCAGTTCTTTCTCTGGAATTTTCCCTGACTTTACTTTGGAAGCTGCAAGTCTGGTTTAGGTACCTCTTGAGTGCAGGGACTGTCATTTTAGTATCTCTGTACTCTCAGGCCCTAGCAGAGGCCCTTGCCATAGTAGGTGTATGATCAATACTGAATAAATAAGCTTCTAGTAGTCTGGTGAATATATAGGCAGGTATGTGTGTGTATGCATGTATATATTCATATATATGTATGTGTATGCTTGTATATATGTATATATACACATATATGCCAGATATAAATAAATCTAAATGGTAGAATTAATAATATTCAGTTAAATGTTAGCAACTGGCCTACTCCAATATGATAAAGACAAAGCATTTTTACTTAACGGCAAATGAGGCAAAATACCTTACACACCTTGAAAAGCAAAGCTCGATGGTAGAAGATTCCTTTTTTGACATGTCCAATCGGTATGACATTGGATTTAAGTTGAAATTTTAGTTCACTTATGTGAAGTTCCCAGCTGAAATCAGGTATTTTCTCTTTTATAATCTTACCACCCATTTTTTCTGCCACATACCTGTGTCAATTACATTGAGATCAAATCAGTCAATTTCAATAACTCAGGATGCTTTGAGTGTAATTACATGTAAATATACATGTAAAAATGACATTTGCGGTGATTTTCATTGTGCTTTATTTTTGAGAAAGTACTTACCATAAGTAGGTTAGCATGCTTACTGTATGCAAACCATCATATATAAACTGAAATTCTAGCAATTTCATTCAATTTGAAGGAGAAAATGAGTGCTAATTTTTTCTAATACTTATAAAAAGATAAAATCAATATAACACTAAATATCAATGCAGTTTTAAAATTTTATCTTACTCTTGAAAAGTATTTTTAAATGTTTTAATCTGAAATCCAAAGAAGGAGTTGAACTAACATATGGTTCTTCTTTCAAGGAATTTAAACTCAGAGAAAAGACAAACACTCAGAAAATTTTCCCATTAGATTTATGAACATTTTCAAGTTTTATATTTTTATGTTTTCTTTTAAAATTTATTTTAATTTAGAGAAAGACATGGTATGACTTAACACTGAAGTCAGAGGAGCAAGGAAGAAGAGGACGAGGCAAAAAGAAAAATAAAGTCACAGCTCTGCGGGCAAGGCAGGATAAATGTGGTATACTTTGCCTGTGTATTTCTCCTAATATTAGGCTCTCACTGAAGAAGTCAGTAAACACACCTGCAATACCCTTTGTCTATGAAGACCACTACATTCTTGGAGTAAGGGCAGAATTGCAATTTTTATTTTAATTTGTATTTATAAAGAGAGATGAGAGTCTCACTGTGTTGCCCAGGCTGGTCTCAAACTCCTGGCTTCAATAAATCCTCCCATCTCGGCCTCCCAAAGCACTGGGATTACAAGCATAAGCTAGTGTGCCTGGCCCAAATTGCAAATTTTAAAGAAATTCCTCTTGCTGCATGAAAAACCAAGCACAGAAGAACAATGATTTAAAAAAAGAAAAAAAAAAAGAGAGAGAAAGAGTTGGGGAGAAAGCTGTTGAACTGACTGCAGTTCCACCAAGCCAGGGGTACTCTAGTGAATGCCAAGGAACCAGAGTCATGGGGACATATCTCTGCCTCTCTCTTTATGTTGGTGTGGGCTCAGGTTAAGAAAAGACAATTATTTGAGAATGATGAAAAGTGTTACTGATAGGAACAAAGCATGAGGAGATTCGACAAATGTTCACATAAGCCAAGACAGAGTTCCGCTTGAGCCATCACTTCTCAAGGACATCAGGAACACTTTAGTAGCCAAAAATGTTCTCTTCCAGTTCTGACTGACAAAAAGGCAATGATCTGGCAGCTGTGTTACTTGCAGTTGTCACATCCAGGTTTCATGATAGCAACTCACTGCTATTTGGAGGAGATGCAAGCTCCCATGGAGACCGCAGCTGTTGCACAAGCCAGCAGCTTACCTACTGAGTGGTGTCAGTCACGAAACCTGTCCTCACTTCTGGTGATTCCTAACCCCTTACAGCTACCGAGTCAATTTCCAGCCTTTACCTGGTGTAATTAACACTCTAATGAAGAAGACAACTTCACTGGCTTATACAGAGCCCGGAGCCTGCCTAAGCAGCCATTGTTTAGAATGCTCACACCCCACTTAGAGAAACATGAAACACGAAAGATCAGAAACAGATCAGAAAAAGAGACATTGGACATTTGTATTAGAAAATTTATCAGTTTACAAATAATTCACAGTAGGATTCATTTAATTTATGAACACCCCATCCACCTGAGGGATGATTTAATTTTTAAACTTTTGATTCATAACTTCTGCAGGATCATATTGAAAGATGTTTTTCATGGGTTCGCTGAAGAAAATGACAGGCATTTTTCTCAAAGCAATTTCCAGCTCCTATCTCTGATTCTTAGTGAACATATGACCTAAATAGAAATTGAGGACTTTTCCAATTCATTGTGTTTCTGTGTCAGAGTCAGAGTGCTGTAAGCTTCAATTTAATTTATGGTATATTTGTCTAAAACATGGCTAAAACGTATATGTCACTAAATTTTTTTCGAAATTAAAAACACATATATACCTAGACAACTTACTTTGCAAGAACCTCAATCTGCTCCTTAATATTGATTATGGGCAGTATTGATTTGGTAACTTCATACACGTACATAGAGAAATCAGGGTCGGGGGGAGGACACCATTCTTTGTCAGAGCTTCCTTCACCCACAAATTTTGGTACCGCCATAACCTCTTCCTCCTCTTTCACTTTTTCCTCTTCTTTTTTTTCTCTGCCTTTCCTTTGAAAGTAAACAAGGGCAATCAAGATCACATCTTCTGCTAAACAAACAAACAAACAAATGCTCTTGCATTTCTGAGAAGAGCATCACAGAAATAAGGTACAGTGAACCCTTGAGCAACACGAGATTGAACTGTGTGGATCACTCATATGTGGATTTTTTTCAGTAAATACTGTTGGCCCTTCTTATCCCTGGGTTCTGCATTCCACAACCAAATGTGACTGAAAATACAGTATTTGTGCTAAGTAAAACCCACAGATGCAGACAGCTGACTTTTCATATACGTGGGTTCCACAGAGCTGACTGTGGGTCTAGAGTATGCATGGATTTTGGTATCTATAGGGCTTCATGAAACCAATTCCCCATCGATACTGAGGAATGACTGTATTTTATACACACATAAAGTTTTCAAATTTTCATTTTCAATGACAGTTGGAGAATTTCACAGAGTCTCTATTATGCAGAACAAACGAACTTTCAAAAGAACATTGTGTGATTGATATATATTATGAAAATCATATATTGGTCTTCTGCACAATTGCCTAGCAAGGTGTCTGGCACATAGTAGTAGGTATGTAATACATAGTTATTGAATTGGAAACAATTAGGTTGCCTCTTCAGAGAATCTAAGCCAACTATATCATCTTTTACTTCAGTTAAGATCCTCTGCAGGAATAATATGGATTGCTATTTTCAAGAAAAATTATTCAAAACAAGGAAATAAAGCAAAAAAAAAAAAAAAAAACCCACAAAATAAGAATGGCATGTAATCTCCATGATGTACAAGAACAAAGACTCATCCAAGGTTTATCTAGAGAAATGTACTTAGTTTAGCACTTAATAAAAATGAAATTTTAATTAAAAGTTCTGGCCTTAGAGAATTACTAGTTAACATGTATATTTTTTACATGTAGAGATGCAAATAATTTCTGTCCAATGGAAAAGATACTCTCAAAGGTTACAGTTTATCCTTCTATTGAATTCCACAATTCCCCATGCTGAACTAAACTTAGCCCAGTAACTGGAAGTGAACATCAGCACAAACAGAGAAGGCTCAAGAAGATTGAAAAAGAAAGAAGAAAAAGAGAGACAGAAAAAGAGAGAATAAAGGAAGCCCCAGTTTTAATTTTTGTTCTTTCTAATTTTTCTTCATTCTTGTGCATTCTAAGCCCATAAGGAATCCTGTGACAGCGGTGGCACTGGTGGCACTGGAATCCTGTAAGAGCCTAAAATTGCTTATAATCTCTCAGACCTTCTGCTATTTGGCTGTAATTATGGGTGCAGTCATGGCAAGAGTGCAGTAGATGAAGGTAAATAAAGTTTTCTGGCTGGAGGACCTAAAGGGAAGCCCCTAAAGAATCAGAAAAGGCAAGGAAGATTATGGAAAAGAAGGAGCTCAGAAAAGTAACCCCATAAAATTATTTATAAATTCCTAGGCTTATCCTGAGTTGTGCATACATGGCTTGGCCCTCAACAGCACATACACAGACTCTGAAAACTGAACTATGGGATAGACTGCCATCCAAGTCCCAAAGTGGATACTGGTTGGCATACATGCAGAACCAATCCAAATAGCACTGCAAAGACTTTGAAAATTGAACTGACATGGGAATGACAATCCACAAGAGCCTGGTTGGAATTGGAAGCCTGAACTCAACTTAGTCAATTGACTGCTAAAATACACCCAAAAGGAATATTCTTGGCGTGTAAATGCAACCCATAAATAAGACACATAGGACTTATAACTTATTATAATCTAAAATTACTCATTATATGAAGAACCAAGAAAATCTCAACTCATAGGAAAAGACAATCAGTAGACACCACTGCCTAGATGACACAGATGTTGATTACACAGACTTTAAAAATGCTTCAAGAAGTAAGGTCAAATACTCTTGAAATGAATAGAAGTTTAAAAATCTTAAAAATAAATAGAAGACATAAAAATATAATTTTGGAACTGAGAAATATGTAATCAAAAGTTTAAACGAACATAACTCCCTAAATGGGTTTAATAACATAATGAAGATAAAGGAGGAACTAGTCAATGAACTTGAAGATAGAACAATAAAAATCATCCAATCTGAACAACACAGAGAACAAAATTGTTGTTGTTGTTTGAGACAGGGTTTCACCTGTTACCCAGGCTGGGGGTGCACTGACTGCCACCACTTCTCACTACAGCCTCAAACTTACAGTGCTCAAGTGATCCTCCCACCTCAGCCTCCGGAGTAGCTGGAAGTACAGGTGTGTGCCACCATGCTCAGCTAATTTTGTTTTTTATTATTATTTTTAAAGACAGGGTCTCACTATGTTGCCCAGGCTTGTCTCTAACTTCTGGGCTCAATTGAAACTCCTGCCTTGGCCTCCCAAAATGCTGGGATTACATGTTTGAGCCACCATACCTGTATAGAAAACAAAAGATTGAAAAAAATAATTGACAGACACTCAGGGACCTGTGGCACAGTTAAAAGGTCTAAGATTGGTGTCATCAAGTCCCAGACAGAGAAGAGAAAGGGTACAGTATAGAAAAAACACATTGAATTAAGAAGGAAAGGCTGAGATGGCTCCCTCAATTTGGTTGAAAACAAATCTACACAGTCAGGAATTTCAGTGAATGCCAATAAAGTAAACCCAAAGAAGTCTACTCTCAAATATATCAAAATAAAACTATTGAAAACTAAATACAAAGCAGATGACATGACTGTCTATGTGGAAACTCCCAAGGAATTCTCCAAAAAAAAAAAAAAAAACTACTATAAATGAGTTCATCAAAGGGTCAGAATATAAGATCAACACACAAAAACCAATTGTGTTTCATATAGTAAGTAACAAGGAACATGTGCAAATCAAAATTAAAACCAAAAAACTGAAGCATTTACAATTGCTCCAAATAAAATACTTACAGATAAACTTTGCAAAACATGTTGAATTCCTACATGATCTGTGTGCTGAATATTAAAAATGCTAAGGAAAGCAATCAAAGACTTAGATAAATGATGAGACATACTGTGTTCATGGATTTGAAGATGTAACTATTAAAGATGTCAGTTCTCCCCCAAAATGATCTCTGGTTTTAATGCAATTCCTATCAATATCCCAGCGGTTTTTTCTAGACATATAATAGACAATCTTATTCTAGAATTTATATGAAAAGGCACAGGTTTTAGGATAGCTACATCAATCTTGACAAAAATAAAGTGGGAAGAATCACTGTACTTGATAGTAAGGCTTACTATATAGCTACAGTAATTCAGACAGAGTGATACTAGTAGAGGGATAGACATATGGATGCATGTAACAGAACTGAAGACCCAGAAATAGAAATCAAAACAATATGCTCAACTGATTTTTGACAAAGGTGCAAAAGCAATTCAATGGAAGAAGGATGGCCTTTTTAACAAATGCTACTGGGGCAATGCGACTTGAGGGTCCACGTGGTGATGAAGCTATTCATTATCTTAACTGTGCTAGTAAAGGCATAAACCTACACATGTGATTAAATTGTATAAAACTAAATACACACATGTAGAAGAAAAATAAACTTGAATAAAATGATTGGATTGTATCAATGTCAATATCCTAATTATGATATTGTTCTATAGTTTTCACAATTGTATAATTAGGGTACCTGGAATTGCTCTATATTACTTCTTGTAACAGCATGTTATTACCTCATCAACATTTCAGTTAAAAACTTTCTTGGCCTTACTTTTGTCACCTTTCTCTAGGCTGTATTCTGTTCATTGATCTGTCTGTCCCTTCACCAATACCACATGATCTTGGTTATTGTAGCTTTATAGTAAGTCTTAACATCAGGTAGTGATTATTTCAACTTTATGATCCTTTTTCAAAATTATTTTGGCTATCATAGTTTATTTACCTTTCCATAAAAGTTTTAGAATCAGCTTGTCTATATCTACAAAATATCCTGCTAGAATTTTGATGGAATTGCATCAAATCTTTAGAGCAACTGGGGAAAAATCAACACTTTTGCTATTTCGCATTTTCCAATATTTGAGCATGGTATGTCTCTTCACTTAGTGATTCTTTGATTGGTTTTGTGAGTATTTTTGTAGTTTCAATATACAAGTCTTAGACATGTTTTGTTTCACTTTCATTTTTATTTCATATTTCATTTCTGAAAGCTATTTAAAATATTTACAAAATGTTTTGTTTTCAATTGTTCATTGCTAGCATATAGAAACATGATTGATTTTTGTATGTTGACTGTATTGACCTGATATCCTGATATATTACTGAACTCATTATTAGTTCCAAGAGTTTTTTTTTTAAGTGGATTTCTTAAGGATTTTCTATTTAGACAATCATGTTGTCTGCAAATACAGACAGGTTTTTTTTTTCCTCCCACACTTTCCAATCTGTGTAACTTTTAAAAATTGCCTTATTGCAATGTCTAGGAATTCCAATACAATGTTGAACCGGGGCGGCAGGGGGGGGTAAAAACAGATGATATTTTGTCTTGTTCATGATCTTTGCAGTCTTTTACCATTAAGTATGATGTGATCCGTAAATTAGTTTGTAGATGCCTTTTATCAAGTTGAGGCAATTCCCTTTTATTCCTATTTTCAACAGTTATATTTTTATTTTTATTTTTATCATATCAACATCATAAGTAGATGTTTAATTTTGCCAAATGCTTTTTCTGCGTCAGTTAATATAAGTTGGTTTTTCTTCTTTATACTGCTAATATGATGGATTACATTAATTGACAAGCATGACACAGGCTTGCATTCCTAGGATAAAGCCCTCAAGTTGCTCAGATAAATTATTCTTTGTATCTACTGCTGAATTTGATTTGCTAATATTTCATACAGGATTTAGGGATCTACGTTCATGAGGAATATTGATCTGTAATTTTCTTGTAATGTCCTTGTCTGGTATTGGCATTGGAGTAACCTAATGCAAATAGATTGGCATTAGATTATCGTGAGCTGAGAAGTGTCCTCTATTTTCCTATTTCTGAAAAAAATGTGTAGAATTGATGTTAATTCTTTAAATGTTTGGTGAAATTTGCCAATGAAACTATCTGGATCAAGAGATTTCTTTTTTGAAAAAATTTTAATGAATTAAATTTATTTAATAGTTGCAGGGCTGTTATCTATTTCATCTTTGGTGAGTTTGGGTA